GAAAATTACATGTGTAAAATGGAAACCTTGCCAATTTATATAATTATGGTACAGAGATATATAAATTATGACTATGTAGTCACGGGGTTTAATCAGTGTGGTTAAAAAAATAACAAGTGCCTCTGTTCATAATTTGGTCACATGATCATATTTCCATGGCAAAGGGCCAAATGCATTTAATGCAACTCAAGATGACAAGAAGATTAATGGCCTCTAATAAGCAATTGATTAGTAGTAAACAAAGGCATCTTAAGAATCTAATTTAAGCTCTATTCACAAAAGGAGAGCCATCTCCCTCTGCTGTGGTTCTTCATACTAACTTTTCAGTGAAATAAGGAGTAAAAAGGAGAAACAATGTCTTAGTTTCCTAGTGCTACTATAATAAAATATCACAAAGTGGGTGGCTTTAAACAACAGAGTTCTGGAGGCTAGAAGTCCAAATCAGGATATCGGCTGTATTGATTGCTTCTGAGAGAGAAACTGTTCTCTCCCAGCTTCTGGTCACTCTAGGCGTTCCGTGGCTTACAGCTACAGCATCAGATGGTGACTTTCCTTTGTCTCCTTGTCATTGTTTATCTTCTCTTCTACTATGAAGTCAACACTCATACAGCATTAGGACACACCTTACTCCAGTATGAGCTCATGACCTGACTTATAACAGCTTCAAACCCCTTATTTCCAAACAAGATACTTAGATTAGGACTTCAAAAATTTTTGAGGAGGAGAGATTCAATCCATAACACTAACCACTGTTTTTTTTTTTTTTTTTAACTTTTATTGTTATTTGGGTGAAGGTTTACAGAATAAGTTTACCATTCAACAATTTATACACATTTTGTTCCATGCTATTGATTGCAATTCCCACAACATAATAGCACTCATCCCAACTTCCTCTGTGTTTCTTAGTTCCATTCCTCCTTCTTTCCTGCCTTTGAACTTTGCCCCTGGGCAATGCTGCCCTTTTGATCTTGAATGGTTGATTGTTCTAAAGAATGATATGTCCTTGGTGTCACTGTTCACCTTATGGACTCCTCTCTTGTTTGGCTGAAAATTGATCCATGGAGGTGAGTTCAGTTCCAAGCTTGAAGGGTGACTAAGGACAAAAGTCTTGGGAGTTCCACTGGTCTTTATCTGACCAGAGAGCTTGGTCTCTTTTCATGATTTTGACTTTTGTTCCACATTTTTACTCCCACTCCATCCAGGACCTTGTAATGTGATCTTTTTCAGAGTAGTTGTTACTGGTAGCTGGGTACCGGCTAGCTCTTCTGGTTGAAGGATCATAGAGGCTGAGGTTCACATGGTCCATTAGTCTTTTGGAATAATTGTTTACATGTGTTTTTTTATTTCCTCACTCTTCTTTGCTCCAGTTAGGGAGAGACCAATAGTTGCCCCTTAGATGGCCACTTACAAATTTTTAAGATCCCAGTCATGACTCACCAAAGTAGGGTGTAGAACATTTTCTTTGAAGACTATGTTGGACCAGTTGACCTTGATGTCCCCCGAGACTGTGGTCCTGAGCCCCCAGGCCACTCTTCCCCTCAAGGTGTTTGGTATAACACTAATTCTTAGATTTTAATATTTAAAATGATGAGATCTAGATTGTGAAGGTGAACATAAATCTTTGTTTATAAACATTCATGTGTTTGTGTGTGTGCATGCATGCAGAAATTGCTCTACAGTATCTAGCAACTCACTTAAACCAGGCCCTGCCTCCTTGGTCTTAGAGCTACTAGAATGATTGGGGAAGAAAGGGTAATTAAAAAAAAAATGTACTGTATTATTCTCTCAAAGATTGATTATTATGCAAAAATGTATTCCAATTTCAATTTTAAAAACTTTTAATTTGTTCTTAATAGCTATAATTTGAGATACCATGGAATGAGTATGAAGAGAGACAGGAAACTTTGGAAGGCTATCTGTGGTAACTTGATTCACTGAGCTGAGATTTCTTCTTTCTGAAGTTAAGATAACATAGTGGACACATTGTAATTCATCACAGCTGGTAACCCCTAATATACAGAACACAGTAAAGACCTGAGAAAAATACAGCGTATATCTCTTAAATATTCTTCACCTTGGTGGAATTATTTGCAGTAAAGTAGGGAAAGGTTAGAAGAGTGTGTTAGCATTGAGTATGTGCCATTGAATATGAAGGAATAGTATCACGCACTGGTTGTCTGGAGTCTGTTGAGGTCCTGCTCAGCATGCAGCAAGTTCATGTGAGCATGTTTAGATCACATTGTGTCTGACTGTACATCATAATTCAGGCCAATTAAAGAAATTGTTGTTGCTGTTAGTAGGTGCTATCCAGTCAGTTCTGACTCCATGCACCCCATGAACAACAGAGCAAAACACTGCCTAGTCCTGCACCATCCTCACAATCATTGCTGTGTTTGAGCCCATTGATGAAGCCATTATGTCAATCCATCTCACTGAGGGTCTTCCTCTTTTTCAGACCCTCTACTTTACCAAAGATGATGTCCTTCTCCAAGCACTGATCCTTCTGATAACATGTCCAAAGCATATGCCGTGAAGTCTCAACATCCTCACTTCTAAGGAGAATTCTGGCTGTACTTCTAAGACAGATTTGTTAGTTCTTCTGGAAGTCCATGAAATATTCAGTATTCTTTACTATAATTCCAAGGAGTCAATTCTTCTTTGGTTCTCCTTATTCACTGTCCACCTTTCACATGCATAGGCTCATAGTGTCCCTATGTGCAACAGAATGAAACATTGCCCAGTCTATTATATCAGTGTTTCTCTGGTATTCATAAGGTTTTCACTGGCCAATTCTTTAAGAAGTGGATGGCCTATTCCTTCTGAGTCTGTCTTAGTCTGGAAACTCCACTGAAACATGTCCACCATGGGTGACCCAATGTTATAGCCTCCAACCTCACAAGAAGACTCAAGCCACCATAGTATGACAAACTGATGGACAAGTAGGGACTCTGTCCTATAAGGTTGCTTTAAGTCAAAATTGACTTGACAGCAATGAATTTTTAATGTTTGTTGAGTTCTTACTATAAGTCAGACATTTTGGTAGTTATTGGGGATACAAACATGAAAATTATAATAGAATCAATATATATATTTTTAAAATTCCTTCCTTCTCACTAGAAATAGTATTTTGTATTTTGTTCTTGTTTTAGGTGCCGCTGGGTTTGTTAAGACTCATAGCAACCTTTGTACAACAGAGCACTGTCCTGTCCTGAGCCATCCTCACAGTCCTTGCTATGTTTAGCCCATTGTTGCAGCTATTGTGTCAGACTATCTGATTAAGGGCCTTTCTCTTTCTCACTGGACCTCTACTTTACCATGCATGTTGTCCTTCTCCAGGATCTGGTCCTTCCTGATAATATGTCCAAAGCATGTGAAATGAAGTCTCACCATCCTCACTTCTAAGGAGCATCCTGGCTATACCTCTTCCAAGACAGAGTTGTTTGTTCTTCTGCCAGTTCATGGTATATATGATATTCTTTATCAATGCCATAATTTAAAGGCATCAGTTCTTCCTTGGTCCTCCTTATTAATTGTCCAGCTTTCACATGCATATGAGGTGACTGAAAATATCATAGCTTAGGTCAGGCACAACTTAGTCTTCAAAATGACATCTTTGCTTTCTAGGATATAAATGTTGTTGTTGTTACTTGAGGTTGATTCACCTCGATCATGTAACTCCATGTATAACAGAACAAAACCTTGCCTAGTCCTGAACCATCCTGATGATCATTGGTATGCCCAAGTCCATTGTCACAGACACTGTGTATTTTGAGTGCCTTCCAATTTAGGGATTTTATCTTTCAGCTCTATGTTGGGCAGCATTCTGTTGTGATCTATAAAGTTTTCATTGGCTAATTTTTGGAAGTAGATCACCGGCCTTTCTTCCTAGTTTTTGTTAGTCTGGAAACTGCTGAAACCTGCCCACCATGGATGACCCTGCTGTTATTTGAGATGCCAGCAGCATAGCTTCCAGCATCTTAGCTATACAAGGTACCACAGTACAACAGATTGATAGATGGATAGTGAGGATATAAATATTCACAGTCAGTATTAGTTAAAACTGTAGTCAAACAATAAATTCTAATGGTGATTAATGCTCAAACAATGTTTAAGGTAAAGTATATAATTTATAATTCCATTATGCCAAAAATTTTGACTTGTATTTTCTTTTTTTGCTTTGTATCTTAAAAGTCATGTTGATGTCCCTTTCATCAACATCAATCATTTTAACCATCTATGGTGTATGATTATGTTTCCTTTTGAGAATCTATTAAAAGTGAGACTTCTAACCAGATAAATGCATATACTTGACATGCAAATGATATATGTATTTTATGAGATTTCAGAAACCTACAAAAGATCAGGTAGAAAAACACTACAAAAATTTTTATAGGTAAGAGTGCATACATTTCTGAAGATACAACTTATTCAGGTTCTCTTCAAAGAGTCCTATGAAGTTACAACTTAATTTGGAAATAGAGATGACTTTTCACGGGATTATGTTTTTGCATTAATATTTACTCTCCAATCCAAATTACTGATAAATTTGTATTCTGACACAAATAAATGATTACAGTTTTCCCCTGTGATGGAAAATAATTTATTAGACAAGGATTCTGATAAATTTAGCATGAATTTAGGTCACCGTATTAGGGCTTTCCTAAGCAGGACCATATGTGAAAGTGATCAATGGCAGATGTGTCTGCATATATGCATTAGAGTTTTTTTAAGGCTTGCTGCTGCTATTGCAATGGACAAGCTACAATCCTATGACACCTTTTCAGTGTAATAGAGTCTTATCATCCTTCTGTGCTTCTGGGCCCCAAAGTAGCTTGGAAAAGCCCATGCCTTGAGTTTGTCTTTAGACCATTTCCAGAGATGAACAAGTGATACCATAAATATATCCCAGTCTTGCCATTTGGGTTGAGGAAGTGGCAGTATGTGGTGGCTCCTTCTGGATGTAAATTGATTTTAATGATTTCTTTCTTTCTCCTGGGCAGGATTTATGTGGGCATCATTCATGTGACACCCTGGGAATGGCAGACGTTGGGACCATATGTTCTCCTGAGCGCAGCTGTGCTGTGATTGAAGACGATGGCCTCCATGCAGCTTTCACTGTGGCTCACGAAATTGGTATGCAGTGCCTTTTCTCTTCCCTCGCCAAATCAAACACTTGTAACAGCTGCAGCAGGGACCAAAATACTTGGCAATTAATTCCAAATTTCTCCTGGTTCAGATGTACCATTGGGGATTATGTGTGTTTATATTTGCACTAATAATGGAGAGAGAAGGCAAAGTCAGGCACCCATTCCATTTCCTTCTGACAGTGTCATTTAAAAGTTTAAGAAAATTCACTGCTGCTACTGTTTTTTTTTTTTTTTTTTTACTGTCTGAAAGCATCCCTAAATGATTCTTAGACAAAATTTGTCACAGTTGGCTATAGAAAGCAGAGGCGTTCCATTCAGAAGTTATTTAAGATGCTGTTGACATTCCAGGCTGGTCAGTTTTCACAGAAATTTAGCATGTTTTACTCCACTGTGAATGATAATCATAGGTTCTTGTCAAAGGTCATCAATAGTTTCCTGTAAACATTCCTATCTTGTTCTGAACAACAAAGTAAACAGAACCAAGCCTAACGCTCAACCAGATCTGTATAAAATGTCACCTTCCTCATTTGCTTGCTACAAGAAACATCTAAATCTTACAACTGTAAATTTAGGACTGAGTTAATATGTGAAAAATATCTCCAAAATTGGGAATCCATGTTTCCTAATCATTGACCTAAGCTGCTAGGTATAGTGTTTGACAAGTCCAGCTTAGTATTTAAATGTTAGAATTAGACATATCTGGGCTCAATCATGCTCACATACTCTCCTACCTGTGTCACATTGGTCTAATTATTTATTTAAACTCTCTAAACTTCACATTTCATGTTTAAAATATAAGAATAATAGTGTCTATTTCATGGAGTTATTGTAGGGATTATATTAAGTAGTGTATAGACACTTTCACTTTTTTTTATTAAATAGTTCATTTACATTTTTAGTATATGTATCCTCTTTTAGCTCAATCCTTTTTGGGGCAAAGTATGGGTTTGATAAATTTTGTAATTTTTTGTTATATTTGTATTAAACAGGTTTGTAGTTTTTTTTTTTTTTTTTCTTCTAGCTAAAACCATAATTTTTAATGCAAATTAAAACCTCTTTTTGACATTCCTAGTAGGCAGAGAACGTTTTCACAAGGTGTTGATTTCTAACTGCTATGTTTTCTTTGGGGAGTTAAAATAACTGCTAATCAAAGGTGTAATAGTATAAGTCACTCTATTGCAGCAGGAAAATAGGAATCAGTAGTAAAATTTCCATTCTTAAGTCATACTCATGACTTTAATTTTCCAAACAGACATTCTTCTTACCACCTAAGCAAAATAAACACAAACATAAAACCTTGACATAAAATACTGTCCACCAACATCACCAATAATAATAATTCAATTCAACATTCTATGAATTTGGGTCTTTGGCCTCAGGAGCCAGACATCTGAAATGGAGTTCCCACATCAACCTCTAGGTTCTCTGCTTTATTTGAAGTAAGTTAACGATTTAGGCACTTGCCTCTCGGATTCTTCTCTACAAGATGGACAAAACATGAAACATGGCTCCTAAGCATTGCATTAGAAAATGTAGTGTGTTTGAAAATGTTTTTAAAACTCCAAAATGCTATGAACAGATATTATAGTTTGCTATTTGAGGGGGTTGTGTTCTCAATTGTCTCTCACTAGTACCTATTTAACTGTTAGAAGTCCATCTAATACAGACCCTTAACTAGGTCAACCAGTTACCATCAATTTCATTTTGATTCATGGCAACCTCTTTTATTTCAGAATAACTGTCCCCACAGGCTTTCCAGTGGCTGATCATTCAGAAGTAGATCACCAGGCTTTTCTTCTGAGGTACCTCTGGGCAGATTTGAAATGCCAATCTTTCAGTTAGTAACCAAGCAATTAACCGTTTGCACCAGCCAGGGACTGCTGAGATAGAGCCTTAATCAATGCGTATGAAATGAATAAATAGGTGAGTAAGAGAAGAACTAAACACAAGAACAGCCTAAGGCACCAATCTGATTCTGCAGTAAAAGCTAAGAGAAATTAGTCCGAGCACTAGAGAGATTTATAATTAAACAGAGGAGATTTTAAAAGTCAGCAGTAATTAAGCACCATTACTTAGAGGGAATGAAGTCCATTAGAGAGGTCCTAAATCCCTGGGAAGGCAGAGGCAGGCATGGCTCAGGCTGGTAGGAGGATGGTGGGAAATAAGGCACAGAGTGGAATTTTGGCATCGTATATCACAAGATAATGAACCATAAATTCCAATTTTCAAAGGAAGAGATTACAGATTCCCTGAAGGTAGGACTATTTCTTCTCTTTCTCCTATTTTTACACATTGACAGTATCAAGGAGGTTTCCCTGTAAGACAGCCCCTGAAGTCATAACTGCAGCTTCTTAAGGGGCTACATTGACACTGAAGCCAACTCAGCTTTAGTTAAACGAATGAACAAGCACCTCTTTATTCAGCCTTCCTGTACTGCTAAACTAAGAGTCTTGAGCTCCTGAGTTAGTCAGGTACAACAGACTGAGAGGTAGAAAGACAGGAAGCCAATTGCTGAGAATGGGGGGAAAATAAATAAATAGATAAATATGTATACACACACACACATATATATATGTATACATACATATATGTATGTATGGATATATATGTGTATATATGTCTATGGGTATGTATATATGTCTATGTGGGTGCATGTGTATATACATATATATATGTCTGTCACCACCTGTCTGTCACTTTGTCATACTATGATGGCTCACATGTTTTGCATGTTGCTATGATACTGGAAACTGTAACAGCAGTATTTCAAATACTAACAGAGTCATCCATGGTGGACAAGTTTCGACAGAGCTTCCAGAATTAGACAGACTAGGAAGGAAAGAAAACCTTGGCAGTCAGCTTCAGAAAATTAGCCAGCAAAAACCTCATGTATCATAACAGAAAATTTTCCTATATAGTGCTGGAAGATGAGTCCCCTGGGTTGGAAGGCAAACATAACAAAAGATGGTTCAGCACTGGGCAACTTTTCATTCTGTTTTGCATGGGATCATCATGAGTCAAAGATGACTCAATGGTAACGGTAAATATGTGTATGTCTAGGTCTGTGTGTATGTAAATATATGTATACACACACACACACACATATGGAATTCTATGGGTGAAGCGCATTGTTAAGCACTGGTCTACTAGCCAAAAGGCTGGTGTCTCAAACCCCCGCAGAGGCACCTCTGACGACAGTGCTGGCTATCTACTTTCTAAAGATTGCAACCTTGAAAACCCTGTGGAGAAGTCTACTCAGCACAGGTGAGGTTCCTATGGGTCAGAGCTGACATCATAATTCAAATCCAGTTCTTCTTCAGTCTTCCTATTCATTGTCCACTTTTCTCATGCATATGGGGGCAATTGAAAATACCATCGATTTGGTCAGCTGCACTTTAGTCTTCAAAGTCCTTGCTTTTTAAGACTTTGAAAAAGGTTTTTTGCAGCAGATTTGCCCAGTGCAGTATGTCATTGGATTTCTTGTGTGTTGATTATGGATCCAAGTAAAATGGAATCCTTGACAACTTCAGTCATTTTTCCATTTATCATTATGTTACTTACTGGTCCAGTGTTGAGTATTTTGTTTTCTTATGTTAAGATGTAATCCATACTGAAAGGTATAATCTTTGATCTTCCTCACTAAGTGCTTCAAGTCTTCTCCATTTTCAGCAAGCATGGTTGTGTCATCTGCAAATCACAGGTTGTTAATGAGTCTTCCGCCAATCCTGATGCCATGTTCTTCGTCTTACACTCCAGCTTCTTGGATTATTTCCTCAGCGTAGTGTAGTGCCTAAAGGATTTGACTGCTAACCAGAAGCCTGGCAGTTCAAACCCACCAGCCATTCCTCAGAAAGAAGATTAGGCAATCTACTTCCGTAGAGATACTGCCTCGGAAACCAAAGGAGAGGTTCCTATGAGTCAGAAATGATCAACGGCAGTGAATTTGGTCTGTTTTTGGTTGCAGATTGAATAAGTATGGTGAAAGGGTACAACTCTTGATTTTTATGTGTTCCATTTCATTTTTGACAACTTCCTATTTTCCTTGATTTATACTTCTTACATTCCATATTCCTATTACTAATAAATGTTTGCAGCTGTTTCTTCTGATTTTAAGTCACACCACATCAGCAAAGGAAGGTCCTGAAAGCTTTACTCCATCCACATCAAGATAGACTTACTTTAAAGAGGCAGCTTTTCCTCAATTTCATTTTGAGTGGCTTCTGACCTGAGGGGCTCATCATCTGGCAGTGTATCAGAGAGTGTTCCACTGCTATCCATAAAGTTTTCACTAACTTTTTTTTTTTTTTTCCCCAGAAGTAGGTCACCAGGTCCTTCTTCTTACTCTTAGTCTGGAAGTTCTGCTGAAATCTGTCCACCATCATTAACTCTGCTGGTATTTAAAATATCAGTGGCATAGTTTTCAGCATCATAGCAACATGCAAGCCACTTCAGCATGACAAATTGGCAGACAATGTATATGAAAGGAAAAAATATTAAGAATTTTTCTTAATGATAGAAAATGAAAAGACATATTTATGCAAGAAAACAATGTAGGATACACAAAATCAAGCGTGAATCTTTAATATGTGACTACAACCTTTTTGTTCCTTTTAATTTCATGGGTCATCTCTGTTTAATCCTATGGAATTCTCTAGAATTCATTCCCCATGCAAACATTGCTTGCTTTAATTTACCAATTTATATTATACATGGCTTAGTCTGAGAGATATAAGATCTGTAAGTTGGGAATATGGATTTAATTTCCCTTTCATAAAAGGATCTGAATTTCATTTGCTTTGTTCATTTTCTAATTGCTTTATCTTTTTTTAATTTTTCTTTTTGCTTAAGAATTATAAACATGTTATAAAGTATAAGCCTTACAAAATTTAGAGAACATACCCTTATGAAATATTTCCCAATCAGCTGTCTGTTATTAGGGTCGAGCCACTTCAGCCAATATAATTTTGTGTATCTAGTTCACTGATC